GTAAAAATGGAGCCCGGAAGGGAAAAAAACAGCAAAACAAGTTACACAAACTGTGCATACTTTGACCGAGCCAGGTAAATTATAATGCCATGGATATCGATTGGCAATGTACACAAATACCTTGGAATTGGGTTCAAGTGGATAAACAAGTAATTTAAGTAAACTGTGATGATGATGATGATTACTGATAAGATCAGCTGCTTGCAATGAACAGTTTCATTTGTACTTTATTGGCAGAGTTGTAACGAGTCACTGATTTTTGTGACTCGAGTCGAGTCGAGTCATTTTAAAGAAGTGACTCGAGTCGAGTCGAGTCATTTTAAAGAAGTGACTCGAGTCGAGTCGAGTCATTAGGTCAACAAGGTCGAGTCGAGTCGAGTCGAGTCGAGTCACTGAGTGTGGTCGAGTCGAGTCGAGTCGAGTCAAGTATTTAGCTCGAGTCAATTCGAGTCACAAATATTTGAACACTAAATTACAATAAAAAGCAACAAACACAAGAGAGAAAGAATACAAGGCACCAGTCTATTACGGAAATCCAAAGACATAAAGTATGCTGTATGGTACCCAACCAACAGTTTCCATTGCTAGCTCACGTCACAGATAAGAAGATGTGAAACTTCGGTCTTATAACCGGTTTGGCTTCGGGTCTAGATTTTGTTGTTCGCTGATCGCTGACAACGTTAAAACCTAATTGCATTATACAAAACTGTTTCTGATTATTTAAAGGTGGGCCCGTCCGTATCCATTTTTTTGTGTGAAATCAAGACATGAATTTAGCCAGCGTTCCACCAAGAACTTCAAAATCGCCCGAAACCAATGATGAAACCACGGATTGAGAAATGCGTTTTAAGTCTGGTTCCGGGTTTAGCATTACATGCTATAGAACCACAAGGTGGGAGTCCGCGACACGGTGTATGTTTGTTGTTTCATTATGGAGGAAGGAAACGGACTGCCGCTGTATATAAACGTACATTATTCGCGAACATTAACGTGACGTGAACAAAAACTGGCAACGCGAACGGCGCAGCGTAAGTCATTGCAAATATTTTTCGCAAGTAAGTTTTGCTTTTATTTTGGGACTCGAGTCTTATTAGCCTTCCTCGAGTCGAGTCATTCTAATGGGGGACTCGAGTCGAGTCGAGTCGAGTCATTTGCTCGCAGTGACTCGAGTCGAGTCGAGTCATTTACCCGTCGGGACTCGAGTCGAGTCGAGTCGCCAAAAAATGTGACTCGAGTCGGACTCGAGTCGAGTCATTGACTCGAGTCATTACAACTCTGTTTATTGGTGCATGCATTATTTTTTTTATGTTCCAAATTATTCCTTTATTTTCCATAACTGGTGGGCAACCATGTACGGTACAATAGTCAGCCAAAATGAATGCAAAAGTAAGGTACAAATTTGTCACTTTCAATGTAAAATGACTTTAACCGTAACCACCCCAACCCTTCAAAATCCACAGTGTTATGTTAGAATCTGTTGGAGTGGGTACTGCACTGTTATTATAAAACTGAAATGCTTTACCGGTACATGCAGACATGAGTTCAACAGTTTGGGTTTGGAGTGCACCATATGGTGTTGGATTTTGCAATTGAGTAAGGAAGGTTCCTAGTAAACTACTCAAGGGGGTTAGGGTTTTAACTAGATATTTCACTATTTTGTATTGAAGCTAAACCTACAACAATTAATGTACCAGTACTTCATCAGTAGTCTACTGTGCCCACAGTACAGTATCACAAATTGTGTATTTCGTATACAGGTACATGTATGTTCATGAAGGGGAATACCAGTATCAAACATGCTAGCATGGTAACAGTCCTGAATCCTCCAATTTTAATATGATTTTGCACACCCCCTAGAGAGTTAGAACAATAACAAGTCATTTTAGAATGAACATACATGTATGTTAATAAACACTCGTACATGTACACTGTGCCACAGCAATCTCAGTGCGATTTTTAAAAATAAATTTTCAGGATTTTTTTTTAGAATACATGTAAAAGCTAATTTTTCAAAAAAACATGAATGATTACCGTGTTTTTAACGATTTACACAATACCGGTATGTACATTTTGTATGTAAACATACATGTACCGTACATCAGACATGTCAGAGAGAATTCTTTGAAGAAACAAAATTTTACAATTTGTAATAAAAAAAAATACATAAATCGACACAGAATTATTCACATTCAGTCTGTTGTATCAACTTTATCGATCAGTTTTCCTTTCACGGTACAGTACAGTGCTTGGCCCAGATATGGAATCCTCTAAAGTCCGGTGACCGATGAAGAAACCATTCAATCCATACACTGACAAAATCTCCTCCCATTCTTTATCACCTGTACAGCGAAGCCGAGCACCAGTTAAAGCATCGGGTGTCGAGAAACTTGAACTCTGTAATCAAATTCTGGTGTTGGCGGGATAAGAGGCTGTGTGGTGCCAAGTTACAAAACGGAAAGCCGTCGTTTAATCAATACTAAAGTCCTTCTCACCTCAGGTGTTTTATTCCCCTCGGCGATTGGCCACGCACAAAGAAATCTTGTTTTTTTGTCAATCTTGCAAAATTCCTCGGCATAAAAATGGTCTTTTGTGCACTTTTTTTTAATACTTTGCAATTTTTTTTCATTACAAAGAAATGAACGTTCACAGATCAAGCAAATGTCACACTCATAGCTTTGCACTGATTTACACCCACATACAAGTATGTACGGTACATGAAGGCCTACTGTACAGTACCGGTACATGTACATCATACATGATGTCTTTAGTTAAGGTTAAATTTATTTTGTTTATAAACTTAAAGGACTCCTAAGTCCTCAATTCACAACGCACTCACCACAGCTGCATACATGTACCGTACATGTACCGTATCTGCGCGTCATTGGGCAGTATGCGCGAAGCGCGCGCCAATCTCCATAAAAGGAGTTGTTTACGACTTACTCGTGAGCTGAGCACTCCATTACATTATATAGCTAAAAAGGTGTTTCGAAAAACAGAGTAAAATTGTTGAACAAAATTGATGGAAATTTTCAATTTTTGCCTTGTTTTGACTTTGGACTGAAAAGTTTAGATTTTTTGACTGAAAAGGTATTTAAGAAGGGGAATAAAATATATGTGCTTCGTCGGTATTAAACACTATGTTTAAGACTGGTTGGTGTCTGGAATGCTGATAATTACCCTCCACTTCGACTTGGGTATTTATCAGCATTCCAGACTCCAACCAGTCTTAAACAGAGTGTTTTAACACCTCCCATGCACACATTTATTCCCTTATTATAGCAGTGGAAAATATTTGGCCTTTTATCTTTTGAATGTTGTTTTCCACGAAAGGGACGTTTCTTCCATAAGTTTCAGAGATAACTAACAACATGCAGCTTTCATCTTGCTTCAGATCTCTCATGTCCTTTTTGTTGCCAGTATTGTGCCTTTATCAGTTAATTAACAAATGGTCACGTCACCAATGCTCAATTTTCTTTGGCCAGCTTTCATTCTAGAAAATGCTTACATGTATTTAGTCATGAAAGAGCAAACTATCCAGTAACAACATGCAGCTTTCATCTTGCTTCAGATCCTTTTTGTTGTCAGTATTGTGTCCTTTAACTTTATTAACAAATGGTCACGTCACCAATGCTCAATTTTCTTTGGCCAGCTTTCATGTTGAGAAAATGCTTGATTTAGTCACGTATTTAACACCCGTTGGCAAATAACGCTTTTAACAAATGGAAGTATAGGCCTATTTATCGTATTGGAAACAGCTGTCCTGGCTTCTGTGCATGTGCACTGTCCCTCTAATTTGTTCAGCTGTGTGATGGCAATTATGAGCGACTATTTTTGTCCAATATTTGATTGTTATCTAGGCTAATTCATCAAAAATAAAGAAATAAGGCCCCTCACAAGATGGTGATCAGTGAAATAAAAACATCAAGATACAAATCAATGATTATCTTTTTTGTTTAGGTACAGAAGACCAAACATCCATGACCATTAAAAAAAAGCGTTCGGGAAGTATTAAGGCAAAAATCCACAACAACAAAAAAAGTGTGAAAATCAGGAAATAAAACACCAGAACAAAAATAATTCGATGAGGGCCAAACATTAATACAGAAGAAATTCCTTAAGCTTTCTTTTGAGTATTCACATGAGCATCTTGCGTAAACTGCATACTGCTGCACAAGACCATCAGTGGGTCGTAGTGACCTCCCCGATCAGAAGCAAGGGTTGGGTAAAATTCAACCCTGGTTGGATAAAATTCAACCCTTGTCAGGTAAAATTCAACCCTGTCCAGGTAAAGTTCAACCCTGGTCAGCCCTGGTCTGGTAAACTTCTGCCCTGTTCGGGTGAAATTCAAACCTAGTTGTGGTCAAATTCAACCCTGGTCGGTTAAAATTCAACTCTGGTCAGTAAAATTCAACCCTGTTCAGGTAAACTTCAACCCTGTTCAGGTAAACTTCAACCCTGGTCTGGTAAACTTCAGCCCTGCTCGGGTGAAATTCAAACCTGGTTGGGGTAAAATTCAACCCTGGTCGGGTAAAATTCAACCCTGGGTAGGTAAAAATTCAACCCTGATCAGTTAAAATTCAACTCTGGTCGGGAAAAGTCAACCCTGTTCAGGTAAACTTCAACCCTGTTCAGGTAAACTTCAACCCTGGTCTGGTAAACTTCAGCCCTGCTCGGGTGAAATTCAGCCCTTGTCTGGACAGCAAGGACACTGGGACCCAAGAAATACTGACCATGGTACATGTACCTTGTGTGTGCTTACTTCAACTTCAGGTGTGCACTCGAGAATGGCTGAAAATGTTAGTGTCGGGGTACCAAAGTTCCCAAGACTAGGTTCGATTCATGTTGTTGATAGCACCCTCTACCACCGTGGTGGTTTAACTGCACTTGCTAGAAACCAAATCCAAAACCAGTCTTGGCCCAGAATAAACACACCCTCACCCTTCCCCCTGCCCCCTTCTTCCCCCTGCCCCTTCTCCTCCAAGAAAAAAAAACCCACTGACCTGGCACAGGACTGTAGTTGGGGGACGAGTCGTTACTGTACTGCATCTCGGTGACCTCTTTGTCCGCCGATTCTTGGATCGGTGCCAGATTCATTGCTGCCAATGGATAAACAGATTAAGTCAGAGATTAGAAGGTTAAGTCAGGGATTAAAGTTGACCTTCCCTGCTCTTGGACACATTCTTATTTTTTCTCCTCTAATGAAATTGTATTGTTTAATTACCTCCGCCAATGAGGTTATGCTTTATAACAATAACCAAAATTCATGGGTAATGTTTTCCTGTTTGATGTCTCATTCAAAAGATAATAACTTTTGTATGGCTACAAATATGTAGCAGTTAAAAAAAAACACCAAAAATTGATGGTGAGAATCGAAAACAACATGAACAGGCATGGTAGGGGTTCCCTAGGCCTTTTAGCTAAGATGTAGCCTCAATCCTGCAAAATCCTCCAATTGGCCTCATGGACAAATAGCAATGCTGCAAATTCCTCCATTATTTCTTGAATATGGTCCGTGCAGATGTGACCACTGCCTGAATCCTGCAAAATTCTCTGGCTATGACTGTCAATAGGCTGAGGCAGAGGCAGTGAAATCCTGGAGCAGTGCGGAGGATTTCAGGTATAATCAAGGACTAAATTTATGCTAGGCTGAGCATAAACAACACAAGGTCCGGCCCAAGACCTTGACACAGTGCATACACCAAAATCAGCAACGCACCTTTGCCATGTAACCTCAATCCTGCAATTTCCTCCAATTTGCAAAAAGGATTTTGGAGGATTTGGGATGGTTAGGGTTAATTTACCCATTTGTTTTGAGTTATACATTGTAGGTACCCCGTAGACAGGCATGCAAACACCTTTACCACAAAACCTCAGGCATTCCAGATACCAAAACCTCTTTAACAATTCTGAAATCAGGAAAAATCCTGACCAAAACATTCTGAATTTAGGAGAAAAAAAAAAAACCTACCGAAATCAAGAAAACTCCTACCAAATCTCTACTTGGATTTAAATTAATGCACGTGTATCAGTAATAAAGTCAATTCCTAATGTCCCTGATATTACATGTACATCAAAGCTACAGTTTGATTTTAAAATGTCTCCCTACCATCAAAACAATGGTATATTTCCTTAAGCCTAACCGAACTCAACCCATCAAAGCCCAACAGCAGGTTTGTTTAAATCTGTTGGGATAGGTAAATGTACGGTACAGTACCCCTAAACAGATGTTCTTTTACACTGGGTTTGGCATACAGTGTGTGTGTACGATTTCCCATGTGGGTGTTGGTATTCGCCTGAGTTAAGCCCGGTTCATACCGGTACATGTACTTCACGCGAATGCGAATCGAATTTGACGTCACGAAGCATTCGCTGCGAAATTCACCCGAGTTGATAAACATGTATGTTCAACTTTTACGAATTCGCAGCGCGAATACTTCCCATGACGTCACAAATTCGCGTTTGCTTTCATGCCGAGTATGAACCAGGCTTTAGGGTTAATAAAAACCCCTAAGGAAATATCTGTTGATAATTTACTGACATTTAGTGCTCGCGGACAGACTAGGGTGCTCAGGTGCATCCAGCAGCACTGTTAACGGTTCCAAGACAGGCGGCATGGGTGGGGACGAGGCACTCCGCGACTTCCTCGACAAAATCGGCGACCGATTGATCGGAAGGAAGCTCCTGGGTTTGATGTCGGCTGGCCAGATCGCGTCGGCGGCTGCACGGGCCGACGAAGTTTGCTGAGGGGCAGCAGGGGAGGAGGCACTTCGCAGTCTCCGCCCCCACTTGGGGGAGAGGGAATGCAGTTTGTGGGGAAGGTCGGTCGGATCTTCAGCGGCCATGGCTTGGTTTTGATGGGTTTGTGACGTAAACTTTAAAACTGGATTGAAGAGTTTGTGACTGTTTAACCAGAGTGTCTGCTCAACTTGTTGGTGGTGCTGTTGCTGAAATAACTCTGTTAGTTTTTCGTAATGGAATTGCACAGCTAAGAACTCAAAAACTTCAAAACCGCGTTGACGAGTTTCTGTCTGTCTAAAGTAGAGTACTGGGACACTGATTGTTGTTGATGGTACTTCTGCCGAAGAATTCTCTGTTGATTTCTTCACCCTAACAGCCCTCCAAACACTAAAACTGGACTGGTCCTTTGGTCAAAATGCAAACTTTACTACAAGTGATCCGAGATAGAAGAGCTGGCAGATTTGTAAAAAAAGGGGGCGTGTCCCACTCTTTCATGTACCGGTAGCCTCTGGAAGTTTTTCCTCTGAAATGTTTCTGATCTGACAGTCTCTACACATCAGCAGGTGCTGAAGTTTTGGTCGGAGCTTGAGTACGGAAGACAGAGAGAACAGCAAAAGTGACAAACAAACTGAACTTATTTGGCAAGTTCCTTTGAAGACTTCACAAGATGTGGGTACTGCACACCAAGAAAACAAGTCCACGATTGTGTGTTATTTAAGCTGTATGACCAAAGCTTCCACAAACATGACAAATATCAGTGACGTGATACCATCTGCTATTTCACAAAGTTTTTCCAGAGTATCATCCTGAGAAACTTCTGCAAATTTGGCGGCAACCGAAATGTGTAAATTCCAGTGCACACTGTGAATTTACTGTGAAGTTGAAGAACAAACTGTAAATTTGTGTGCACAATGCAGTCAGAAATCAAATTGAGTTATCAGTAACATCAGGAGTCGGAGAATGAGTGGAGGTTAAATATTAAGCTCACGTCGCAAATAGCCATAAATTGGACTTCAAAATGTCTAAATGGGTGAGTTAATTTGATTACACAGTGACAACAAAGTCAAGTTGGTCTACACTTTGGACTAGCCTTTGGGCAACAATGAAAATTAATTGCACACGAGTATAAATACTAAGAGGCGAAGTACCATGCTACCATTAAATAGAAACCATTCGAGCCCGTGAGTGAACTTTGAGCAGTGTTCAGACCTCTGTATACAGACAAACACACTTGCAATTCATGTACATGTACTGAAATAGCTTGTACCAATTTAACCTTTCAACCTTAGGTTTTGTCCGGAAATTCTCTTCCACGATTTTCCACCTTTACATGATGCGCACAATTTGACAGCAAGTTCTAGAAAACGTGGCCGGAACAATTCATCTTTTAAAAGCTCCAACCCTAACCCTGCTGAATCTAACAGGATCCAACTATGTCACATACCCGATGGAGCCTGTTGGATTGAGCAGTAAACCCCTTGCGTACATTCCTCATGCAAAATGCTGGATTCAGCAGGCAACTGAACCGCATTATAGCGCCATGTTGGACTCCGTTGGATTCAGCAGACAACTGAAAATAAGGCACAGTGGATTGAGCAGGAAACTCCGGTTGGACTCTGTTGGATTGAGTAGGGTAGTCCTGAGGAACTACTGGTACTAGGGGTAACAAACCAAGCATGTTACTCTAAGATTGGAGTCAGGAGACTAGATAAATTAAAACAATTGCTTCCTATTTTGTACCACTCACCAACTGTCACCTTCTTGTACATGTACCAGTAAACGTGTGGGAGTCAGGTTTGCGTAGTGGTTCTTTCCTCGCCTTCCAACATGACCCGGTTCAAATCCTGCCTGGGTCAACATGTGGATTGGGTTTTCAGTCCCTACCTGATTCCGTGGGTTTTCCTCAGAACATTCTTCTGGGCTTTTCCTCCAAACTCTAAAACTGTAATTTATTCTCATTGTCTTCTCTCTCACTTGGTGTGATATTTCCCCCGGGATGCTTTGCCGACTACATGATACAGATACAGACGAGGAAGATGCTTTCAACATTGAGTGAACAGTCATAAAAACCATACATTTTTATCCACCAGCAAAAACTTTACCACAACAGGGCCATAGCAAGGGTCATACCGGTAGTTTTTACCATGAGGTGGACCCTTTGACCAAGTGGACCATGTCAAATAAACAGTTGATTATTCCTATACACATTCGAGTAAAACTCAAAATGTCAAACGCGAGGCACAATACAAATTAAACTTTTTAAAGGTTTGTTTGTTTTTGTTTAACTCTTCTTTTTATTGTTTCCTTTTTTAAATTATTTTTCTGGAATCATGCACTTTGAAGCTTTGGAATTTTTAACAATCACGTTTGCCCCTCCCATTTTTTGGAATCATTTTTTTTTAACACCAACAGAACTCAACCCATTGAACCCAAACAGCGTGTTTTGTTGGAATCTGTCTGGATGGGTACAGCACCCCTAAACTGACAGTCTTTTACATTGGGTTGGCACACCTCCAGAAGCTAAGTCAGAAATATGTGTGTGCAGTTTCCAATACGGTGTTTGAATTTGCCAGGATGGGTATACATGGTTCCTAGTAAATCATGCTAGGGAGTTAGGGTTAAGCATCACTTTAGTGAAATATGGAACGTTAAACACTTCAACCCCCCCCCCCCCCACCCTTGCTCTATAGTTTGACACACCCCACCAAGTTTTCACTGAGCCAATGTCCGTAAGTACTGTAAAAGGAAGGGCAATAGCAAGCAAGGGTTGGCCTCCACTCACCACAAGAGGGGGCTGTTACAGACAAACTGGGACCTTCATCATAACAAATACCCTACTGCTATTTCATGTGTCATAATTTCAAGGGAAGTAAAAATGTTAAATCTGAAGAGTGATTTAGTTGGGCTTTCTATTTCGGTTTTGCTCAGCATGTAATTAAAAAGTTTAACATTTATGTATCATTTTACTGCCTGAGTCATCTAAGTGGTTTTTTTTCCCTGGTCCTTACTGGTACATGTACATTGTACATGTACCAGAACATGTACATTGTATGTAAATTACAAGAAAAATGTATGTGGTTGCTAATGAAGTAGAAACGTATGTTTTTTTTAACTTAAAAACTGGTCAACTGGCCACTGTCAGATTTGGGATTTGCTTAACCCTAACCTCCCCAACTCCATCAAAATCCATTCCCCACTTTTGGTGGATTTTGGGGGACTCGGTCCTGCAGGCCTGGTGTGACTAAATATTGATGGAGTATGATGGACTTGGGCCTGGAGGCCTAAAGCAAAGCATGCATTGGAAGCAGTGTGATTGATGGATTTTGGTGGACTTGGTCCAGTACTTAGTAAAAGACAGTAGGGAGTTAGGGTTAATCCTTAAAAAAAAAAAATTTGAATTTTTTTTAATTTTTTTATTTTTTTTTTTTAAAGGAATATATGTGTTTCTCTGTTCATTGGGTTCTGTTTGTTGGTTTGTTTGTTTGTTGGTTTGTTTATTTATTTGTTTAGTCCTTTACCTTGGTTCAATATACGGCCATGTGCCAGCCATTCCTTTGTCTTTTCCACTCCTAACGTTTGCACGAGTTGCATATATCGGGCAATCTAGCGGTATGGTGCAATTTTAATCAAGTTAGATTTTTATTTCCCCCCAAAATACAAAAGGTTAAATAATAAATCGCCAAAGATCAAATCAAAATTTAGTTCAGGCATACAGCAAAAAAAATTAACAGCCAAACATTTTTAACCAAGTGAGTTCATTAGTTCAGACACACAGCATCGGAAAAAGTAACACCAACAATTAACAGATTAATTAAGAAATTTAAAAAAAAAAATAATAAAAAAAAAAAAAAATCACACAAGTTGAATTGATAAAAGAAAAGATTTAGTAAATAATTTGCATATTATTAGGTGTGCACAAACCACACGGATAATTCATCCCAAAGCCAGATTTTAAAATTATTCAAATTAGCAAGAATGTGTTTTGTGCACGAAAAAAACCCACAGCAATTCAATGAGCAAACACATGGTATTGATGTTTGAACAGAACGCATGTTATCAGTACAAGGAGTTGAAGTGGATAGCCGTTAGCATTACAATAGGACCAATCGATAAACCGCAGAAAAGGTGAACAATACAATGGACAAGTCCATTATTGATTCAATTGATAACAAGGTTTTAATTGTAAGTGGGGCAGACGAAACATGACAGATATGGCAGAGTTCATGGTGGCATTCACAGAATAAACACAATTGCATTTTTGTTCGGTTTGTTTCGGGAGTGAGGAAACGATACAGAAAGTGGAATGGTTGAGGAAGTGTGTTGTGAGTAAATTATTTTGTCAGGGATCAACGATCAGAGATATTCAAGATAAAGAATTTTTTTGGTTTAATATTCATACAAAAATAAAGACGAGTTTAGAAATTGTTAAATGTGGAACAAGCACACACAAAACATTGTTTTTTGGTATAAAAATGATTTTTAAAGCAAGTATTTTGGGAAGAACAGCCAAAAAAAATTGAGTGCATGAAAATAGGAGTTTTTAATTAACCAATAAAAAAATTACAATGACACCAGTAGTTGGTGGTGGTTGGTAATGGAAAATGGTTATGTTTGAAAGAAAAATTACAGTGTTTAAATATTCAAAAGAAAATTTAGTGTTGCCAGACAAATTAGTACAGAATTTTTTTTAGGGGGGGGGGGGAGGAGGAAGTTTTTTTTCGTATTTTAAGGAAAAAACACACCGAATGAAATAAGTGAGGAAAATTTGTGGTGAAATTCAAACAGCAAATTGCACGAGGCGTGATTGGGTTAAAGAAGACACCGCAATTCCAAAAGGGGGGAAACGTTACCACGACGATTGCCAAGGAATTTTTTTTTTCAAGCACAGAAGGGAAGCCATGCCAAGCAAAGGGGCCCCACGTCGCAGGATTAACCAACCATGCAAAAACAAATAGGGAGAAACAAAAAGTAAACAAAAATGACCTGTTAGCAAGCAGTGTCAAAATGCAACAAAATAACAAGTGGGACATGTATTCTGAGGACAAACTCAAAAAAATGGTCGGGCAGTGAACACCGCGTTATTAGATAATGATGATTTTTTTTTTATTGTTAGGCAAATTAGGACCGAGTTATGGGGACTTTCTGCTGTCCCCACAGCATCTTCGGTCCCCATAGTACCATGGGACAACTCATGTGTAGTCCCCACAACTACGGACCAAGTACACATTTTGTACATTGCACATTTTTTTTATGTGCAGATTGAAATTAAAACTACTGAAACTAAAACAAAATAAAACTGAAAGAACATGGGGCCACGACGGAAATTCATAATCATACCACTTTTGTCACAAAATAATTTTTCAAACAACCCAACCAATTAAAAAACAACCAATGAAATTGTTTCGGCTATTTGCTTTTTTTCACAAATCTTAATTTGTTTTTAACAAATGAGCGAACTGTGTATTGATAGTAAGGGTAAGAAATTCAGTTGGGGGGAAAAAAAGAAGGAAAATCAGCTTTCAAATACATTTACTCTGTACGATCAGAAACTTTCTGCCATTAGTTTTTTTTTAAAATCTCTCTACCATGTCTACTATACAACGTTTAGCTCCATGGTTGATGTTACCATTAACAAAATTTATGGATGGGTCGTTCATTATACAGTACACTGATTGT